TGCTGAGTGGGTTCTGTTTTCTCTCCCTGTGCCCGAACTCCGAACCTTGGGCTCCGGAGAGGGGAATTAGGTTCATCATGAACTCCCTTTAGGAAAGACACCTCATTTTCCAAGGCTAATTCAAGAGATGTCAGCTCACCGATACAGGTGCCAACCTCCCACGTTTCCAACAGACGTAACTTCAGTAGGTACTCGGCCCTGACGACTGGGGCTGAGAAGAAGACTAGATTTGAGGGAATCTTTTCCCTCTCTCTCCAACTCTGTCCAACACTGAAACTAGAAGATAAGGTTCCAGAGGACAAGAGTAACATCTGGACATCTGTGTGTCTTCCTTTGACACCTGCTTCCCTTCCCCTCCAGCCTGAGGTGGACCCTGGACACCAGCAGGCCAAACGTGTGGCTGGAACAGAAGGAATGGGGCACGGGTGGGAAGCTGCAGGTGCCGGGCTGGCCTCAGCTAGGAGTGATGCAGGATCTCCCAGCCCAGGACCAGCAGTGAGCCAGCTTGTCCACTGGTGGGGAGGCTGACAGAAAAAGAAACAGACTAACTTTCTGCTGTGGTTTGTGCGGAGCAAGAAGGGAAGATCTGAGCAAGCCCTCCAGCCTTCTGTAACTTGGAAATCGAATCCTGCATAACTGTTTGCCTTCCCCTTTAAGAGCTCGGTGCTTGGGGCCAGTAGGTGGTGTGGTGATTGGGGCACTGGACTTCCACATGGCCAACTATGATTCGAGTCCCAGACCTGGCAGCTTGCTTTCTCACTCCCACCCCCACCCCCATCAAAAAAAAAATGATAATAATAAATTAAATTTTTAAAAAAGAGCTTAATACTTTGGAAACTTTAGAGCCACAGGTGACTCTGAAGAACAAGAGAATTGAGAGAAAGGCTCTACAAGAAGCTTGGAATCTTGGCCCCTGAGAGCCATCCCATCCCTTAGTGGCCTCAAGAGCAGCATGACAGAATGAGGTCGACAGACTCCTTCCGACAGTTCCATCTCCCTCCCTAGAAAAAAAAGTAGGAAAAATAAGAAACAACTGGCTTTAGGGAGTGAAAAATAGGAGGCACAGAATTGGGTCCTATGCTAGAGCCCTGCTTCTCCTGGAGTTGTCCTCAAAGGACTTACTGAGAGGGGTGAACAGCATGGGGCTGCCAGAGCCGAGAGCTCTTCACGTTGCCAGAATTGCAGGCTGGAGAGCAAGAATGAAGGGTGAGAGGCGGGCTCCCCAGACTGGAGGGTAAAGCTTAGAGGAGAAGCAGGGCAGGGTCACAAAGGAGGGGAGGCCCAGCGTGGTGGGAAAGTGGAACAGCTTAGCCACTGCAGAAAATTAAATAGAGAATCACCCTGTGATCCAGCAATACCACTTCTAATGTATCCCTGAAAGAGTTCAAAGCAGGGTCTCAAAAAGGTATTTATACATTGTACACTTAAAATTATTTAAGATGGGGGGCCAGCAGGTGGCGTGGTAGTTAAAGGTGCTGGACTCCCACATGGCCAACCACAGTTCAAGTCTCAGACCTGGTGACTTGCTTTCTCACTCTCTCTCTCTCTCTCTCTCTGTTCCTCTCTGGTCAAATTAAAATAAATATATAAATTACAAATAAATAAATAAAATTCAATAAAATAACTCTCTTTTAAAAAGATAGTTAAGATGGGGCCAGCCGGTGGTGGTTAAGGGATCCCACATGGCTGGCCATGCAATAATCCCAACAAGGCAGAGAAATGAAGGAAAAGGAATTGCAATGTGATAACGCTTTACGGGGGGTTGCTTTAACTTTCTCCCCCTCTCTGTCTCTCTTTGGCTCTCTCTGGTGTGCACACGTGTTTCTGGCTTATAAACAAAAATAAATAAATGCAAATAAAGTTTATTTGGGAACCAGCAGTTAATGTAATGGCTATGTCGCTGGACTCCCACGTAGTCAACCGCAGTTCACGTCCCGGACCCGATGGCTTAAAACTCACGCCGGGCGCATGTGCGTGCGTGCCCAAGATCCCGAGAGGAGAATGGAGGAGAAGGGATTGCGGTGTGACCATCCAGCCTGGGGGGTGATTTCTCGCTTTCTGTCTCTCTGTCTCTCTCTGTCTGTCTGGCAAGCGCACGCACCCTATAGCGAAAACCTCTCCAAAAAAAATAAAGTTTATTTTATCCATGAGTGAGAGAGACAGTACCCCAACAGCGTCTCAATGCCATAACCCACCTCCCACCTCGGGCACGTGCCCAGCATACTCAGGGGTCTCTGGACATGAACCTGGAGCCTTCCTATGTGGCTCAGTCTTGCAGAACTTGACGTTTGACCTCTGTGCCACCATCTGGGCCCTTGTTTTTTATCTGATCTGGGAAACCTGACACCGTAAACTGCCCAGGTAATATAGACTATTGAGGGAAGGAGAACATTTCAGCTTTTTCTGTATCGTTTTACTTGCTTCTTTTAAGTATGTGTGTGACTACAAAGCAGCAAAGAGGAGTTCACTAGAGCTATGTGTACCTATGTAAATAACCCATAAAAACCCATTATGGGGGGCCAGCAGGCGGTGTGGTGGTTAAGGCACTAGACTCCCACATGGCCGACCACCGTTCCAATCCTGGACCTGGAGCATGTGTGCGTGTACCTAAAATCCCAGAAAGAGAATGGAGAAGAGATTGCCGTGTGGCCAACCCCCAGGGAGTGATTTCTCACTTTCCTTCTCACTGTCTGTCTCTGCTGAGCACATGCACCCTATGGCAAAAACCCGGAAAGAAAAAAAAAAGAGGGCCAGGTCTTAAGATGAGCTTAATGTAAAGGTGTTTGCTAGTCTCTGCCCCCTCTCAGGCATGTACTACCAATTTACGTGCATAGTCTCTCATTTAACCTTCATGAACACGGCAAGAGATAGATTCTAACATCTACCTTTGATGAACAAAGACAAAGGGCCACAGGGGAAGTAGCTGGCCTATGGCCTTTGTCACGCTATCTAGCCATTGCAATTCTCTGAATGCGTTTCTCCACAGTTTCTAAAAGGTGATGTGTTTTGAAGACCTGTGATAACACCTGAGTCACATCGCTGGGAGAGCAAGGCAGGTCACAGTGTAAACACACCTACTTCTAACGCGTGCAAAGTCCTCTCTGAGGAGTATCATTAGACCGAAGTCTGGCTCAGGTACACTAAGCCCTTCTGCTCCCCTCCCACCCTACTCTCTTTTTAACTGACAGATTGCTCACGGCCAGATTTCTTCTAATCCCCGTGCCTTTCAGGCTCCTGATCTTGGGAGACCAGAGGAGCTAGACCTATCCTTTATTTTCTGTTTCTTTTTTTTTTTTTCCTTTTTAACTCCCAGAGAGAGAGAGAGATAAACCACCCTCTCAGGTGGGGCATGGTCACACCATTTCTCCATCCTGTCAGGATTTGGGGCATTACACACAGCAGAGAGAGACAGTGAGAAGGAAAGTGAGAAATCACTCCCAGGTTGGATGGCCGTGTGTTTTTCAAGCTGCCTATGGCTAGGATTCAGACTTCAGTCAGCCATGTGGAATCTGGTTCCCTTACCCACTGATCTACAGGGCCAGCCCCAGAGCTGTGTTTTTTGGATGACCGCAGACTTCTCACTAGGCTGTTATTACCGGGTGCAATGGGCTCCTCATAGGCATCTCATTGTATTTCCCCTTTAGCGAACATACTGCAGTGCTGGGCACTTACACTGCCTCCTTCCCATTCTCATCAGCGGGAGGTCAGTAATCAAACTCTTTGTTCTAAACTTTCAGTAAGATGAGGTCAGCAAGATGTGTGGTATTGAGGTGGCACCCCGCAAAGGAAAGTGACTCCCAGTGGCTCACATTGTTTTGGGGCTTGTTTGCGTTGCTGTGCAGTTGTAATGGAAAATGAATAAAAATAAAAATCCGGGGCCCTTTTTTGGCCAGAGCTCGAGAAGTTAATCCCACTGTCTTGGCAGAATTCCAGCTCAGGTCACTGCATTCTGCTGGTGGAAGCCTCCTCAAACAGCTTTCAGTGGATGTAACTGTTTGGCCTCTTAGTTCTGTGTGCTGTAAATTAAACAGCTGTCCTTGCCCCACGCTGGACAGGGCTACATTGATTAGGACGCAGAATGACCCTCTCTTCCCTTACCACACTGGAGATTACAGACAGATCTGGGATCAGGAAATCAAACTGGTCCAGGGACCAGCTAACAAGATATTTTGCTACAGTCAAAATCAGTGTGTGTGTGTGTCTTCCTGAGTACATTTATAGTCATATGATCACAGACTCCTATTGTCAGAGGTTTTTCCGAAATTTTCTAGTTTCTGGGACCAGCAGATGTTTATGTTGCTGGACTCCCACATAGTTGACAGTGGTTCAAGTCCTGGACCAGGTGACTGAGACCTCAAGCTTGGGTGCATGTGTGTGCGTGCATGCCCAAGATCCTGAGAGGAGAATGGAGTGTGGCCACCCCCCCCCCGGGGGTGATTTCTCGCTTTTTGTATCTGTGTCTCTCTCTGTCTCTTCAGAGAGCACACGTGCCCTATAGCAAAAATCCCTCTAAAATAATAATAATAATAATAAATAAGAGGAATTGTCTAGCTTCTTTCCCAGACTCCACACTTGTATTTCATTCGTTTGTTGGTCTTTTTTCATTGCCAGAGGGAAAAAGTGCCCTCCAATCGTACATGATCATGACACAATCCCCTCTCCATTTTTCCATCCATGTGCCCAGCATGTTTTTTCAAGCCTCCTGGGCCAGGATTTGAACCACAATTGGTCAAATGGGACTTGGGTTTCCTAAGCCCCTAACCTATGGCACCAGCCGATCTTTTTCATTTTATTTTGCCATAGGCAAAAACCTAAAAACAAAAACAAAACAAGAAAAATTTAAAAAGCAAAACAAATGAAAAAGATTGGCTGATGCCATAGGTTAGGGGCAGTTGGTCACGTGGGAATCCAGCGCCTTTAACCACCACGCCACCTGCTGGTCCCTTTCTGTCTTTTTATTGCAAGTGCATGTACCCTATGGCAAAAAAAAAAAAAAGGTTTTGTATCTGAAGTTAGAAATTTATCTCCCCTCCCACACCTACATTCTTTTGTAACCTCTCTTGTTTTACAGATTTTCTCCTAATGTTTAGCTCTCCTTCGCATATGAAATTCTTTGCATTTCATGGTGTGAGGAATGGACCCACGCCAATCCTCTTCCCCGTAATGATGCTTACTGAATCATGATTTCTAGTTGTGTGACTTGGGCAAATGGTTTAACCTCTCTGAGAACAGCTTTCAGTGTCTGGAAGAACAGGACTGATAATGACACCTCCCAGACAGCCTTGTCCTGAGGACGGGAAGAGGCGACACATGAAGAGCCCCTAGTCCGTTGCATGCCCGGCAGGTACGTGTCTAAGAAATAATTTTTTCCTTCTTATCTCTTTCCTTTTTATCTGCATCAACCTATTTTTTTTTTACCTAGAACTCTTTTATGTACCATTGAAACCAAGCTTTACTGGAATGTTCCAGAGGTTGTCTATCCCAGTTTTATATTAGGAAGCTATTAAGCTGCAAAGTCAAAAGAGGAGAAGAGCGGGGAGGCACTCTCCTTGAAAGGACCCGGCCTCAGGGCACATGTGCTCCTTGCTTGCACGCTTGCAGGTGATTCTGCTGTGACTGCAGCCCCCTGAGTTCTCTCAGGTCAGAGAATGTTCTCAGAGGCTCTTCTAAATTCTCCCCTCCCCAAGTTGCCATGGCAGATCCTGGGGGTGATCTGATTGTGGAGGACAAAGCTCCAAGTGTGGGCTCTTTTATTTTGGGGGATTGGGTGGGGGTAGGAGTTGGCCATGGGCTTGCTGCATTCCAGGAAGAGGGAGGGCTCCGCTCTCCTCCGATGAGTCATGGAAGAGAAACGTCTAATGTTTGCAAACATCTCCCGCCAAGCCTCTGCTTTCCCATGCTCCACCCCATCCACGCAGACTGGACCCACCTGAGGACACTGAGAGGGGAAGCTGAACAAGGGGCCATGGTGCTGCAACTGTCAGAAGTGGGACACAGCTGGGACCAGCAGGTGGCATAACTGTTGCATTGCTGGACTCCCATGTAGTTGACCACGGTTTGATTCTCGGACCTGGTGGCCTAAAACACACCGGGCGCATGTGCGTGCGTGCCCAAGGTACCAAGAGATGAATGGAGGAGAAGAGGTTGCAGTGTGGCTATCCCCCCCCCCCCGGGGATAATTTCTCATTTTCTGTCTTTTTCTGTCTCTCCAGCAAGCACACACACCCTATAGCAAAAGATCTCTCTAAACTAAGTGGAACACAGCTAAGAAAAGGGGGACTGGGGCTGGCAGGTGGCGTGGTGGTTAAGGGTGCTGGATTCCCACAGGGCTGACTGTGGTTCAAGTCCTGGACCTGGCGGCTTGCTTTCTCACCCCCCACCCCTCTTCTCTCTCACTCTGCTTCTATGGTCAAGTAAAAATAAATAAATACAGTTAAATGAAATAATTATTAAAAAAAAAAAGCAAAGAAAGTAAAGGGGGACAGTTGTCTTGTACTTGCATGTGTGACACAGGACAGAACCTGGGGATCAGGAGGATCAGGAGCAGGAACCAGATTTTCCCAAGAGGCCCGCCTTCTTCTGTAGAGGGCCAGGAAATGGAGAGAAGCCACAGAGGGAGGAGGAGTGAAGGGGACTGCAAGAACGAAGACAAAGGGGCCAGCCAGTGGCCGAGTGGTTAGGGGAGCCCGATCCCATGCGGCTAACCATGTAATTTGAATCCCAGCCCTGGTGGCTTGAAAGCCACCCTGAGTGCATCTGTGTGCCCCAAACCCTGACAGGGCGGAGAAATGGAGGGGAGGGGATGGCAGTGCTACCACACCCCATCGGCGTGTTTCTCCCTCTCTGGTGAGTGTGTGTGCCCTCTGGCAAATTAAAAAAGAAGGCAAGGGCCAGGGAGAGAGGGGAGATCTTACAACTGAAAGAAGGGGAGCGCATCTTCCAAGGAGGAGAGACGGAGCGGGCAGGGTGTGCTGTGAGCAGGCGCCGCCACCGCCTTAGCAGACTGCGGGAGCCAGATGGGCTCATGCCGCATCCTCCCAGATGGAGCGGATCAGGCATGTCAGACACGCTCCTTAGATACGCCGCGTCCCCCTCCTCCCCTCTGCCAAACCAGAAGAGAATCACAAGGTGACTTGGGAGGACAGCCAGTCTCCCTGGCTCTTTGAACACTCTCAGGTAACTGTGGCAGGAACACACTAGGAGGAAACGTGCCTCCACTCCCATCCCCCACACCCTTTATTCTATTGCGGGACATCAAGGGAGCGCGCTGCTGCTCAGCCTGGGAGCTGACGTCCTATTCTGGGAAACGTGTCCGGCAACCCTCTCGGCTGCAAGCACCATCCATGGGTTTCTGCCAGACTGAAACCCTACCAGCTCGCTCCCGCTACCCTCCAGCCAGGGCAACACCCTGGCATCCAGCAGGGAAGGGAGAATGTGAGAAACTCATCATTTAAAATTAAGATTGCATGAGATCGCTCTTGGTTTTTCTGCTGGGCTCGGGAGGCCATGTCATCTCTGCACTTGAAGTATTCCACTGTTAAGGTCCGAGCACCTGGGTGGGGTGGGGCGCAAGGTGAGGAAGGAGGGGAGCGGAGAGAACTTTTGAAATCTTTCCACAAAAATCAAAGAACAACTGACTGGAGGGAAAAATAGCTGCTATATTTAAACCACATTATCCCATCGGGGAGTTAGGGTTCTGAGAACCACTCCACAGTACTTTGCACCGCTAAATGGGTTTCTTTGCTGTTTTTTTTTTTCTTTCTCTTTTAAGATGGCAGTATTTTTTCCTCCAGAGTGATAATTACAAGGGAAATGAAGGGCTTGATTAATGAATTGGCTCGATGTTTACTGAGCACCTGCTACGTGCCTAGATGCAGTAGACACTCGGAAGACAAAGTAAATACGGGAGCTCATGAGGTCCTCAGTGCACAGCATCGTGCAGTCCCCGTTGGCCGTGTGCCTGCCAAGTGCGTGTGACCCCTGCTCTCCTGGCTTTTATAATCGGGTAGAAGACGGACAGTAGGGTGACTGAGGGTAACACGCACTGTGGAAGAAATGTTCTTATATGTGTTTGCCCATTTCCTGTTTCTTCTGACCCAGATGCTGCTCTTCGTGGCTCCAAATATTTTTTAAAAAAAAAAAAAAAAAAAAAAAACACAAGAATTAGTTATGTTATGTTATGTTATTTATTTATTTATTTTTAATTTGCTATAGGGCATATGCACTCACCAGGGAGAAAAAAGGGTAAGTGAGAAAGCAAGCTGCCATGCCAGGACTCGAACAATAGTCAGGCATGTGGGAGTTTAGTGTCTGAACCACCATGCCATCTGCTGGACCTTCTTCCACCCTCCCTTTTTAAAAATTCACCAGAGAGAGAAAGAAAGCGCCTCCCAATGAGGCTGGTCACACCTGATCCTTCTCCTCCATTCCATCCCATCAGGATTTTGTTTTAAGAGATGTTTTTTTACTATAGGGTGCATGTGCTCACGAGAGAAACAGAGACAGAAAATAAGAAATCATCCCCCAGGACAATGGCCACACTGCAATCCCTTCTCCTCCATTCTCTTCTAGGAATTTTGGGCATCCATGCACTCACGCACATGGGCCGGACATGAATTTAAACTGCCAGGTCCAGGACTCGAACCACAGTTGTCTACATGAGAGTTCAGCAATGTTACTGTTAACATCATTTGCTTGTCCCCAGGATTTTTAAAAAATAATTATTTTTCTTTTATTTTAACTTTATTTTATTTATTTATTTATTTGACCAGAGAGGGACAGAGAGAGAGAGAGAGAAAGTGAGAAAGTAAGCCTTCAGGTCCAGGATTCGAAAAGGCAGTCCAGTGTCCTTAACCACCACACCACCTGCCTGCCAGTCCCTCCAGGGCATTATTTTTTTAACTTTGCTATAGGGTGCATGTGCTCACCAGAGACAGAGAGAGAGGAAAAGCCACAATCTCTTCTCCTCCATTTCTCTTTTTGGGATGTAGGGCAAACACACCCAGGAACCAACCTTTTATTTTTTAGTTAAAGAATTATTTATTTTATTGTATTTATTATTATTATTATTATTATTCAATTTGACCAGAGGGAGGGAGAAGGCAAGCTGCCTGGTCTGGGACTCAAACCATAGTTGGCCAGGTATGAGAGTCCAGCACCTTAACCACCACACCACCTGCCAGCTCAGGCACCAGCTTTTTAAGCCAGTGAGTCTGGGACTCCAACCATAAAGTTAGCCATGTGGGATCTGGCTCCCGTAAACACCAGGCCATGGGACTGGCTCTCAGCTTTGAATGTTCAAATGGCTCTATATACGCTTGGCTCACTTCTCAGAGGGAGGTGACCACCCTACTGGGCCCTGTCTTCTCACTGTCACGTGTGAGTCCATGACCCACTCAAGTGGCATTGTCAAGTCGGCAGCTAGGGACACGAGTCTGGAAATACAAATATGTATGTTATTGATTCTGAGGTGGAGGTTAAAGCAGTGGGCCTACAGAAAGGTAGCAGGTAGGGAAGAATGCCAAGCACTAAGATTGGTAGAAGATAAGTAGAAGTGGAGGGGGCACATGAAAAGAAGGTCGAAAAGGATGGGCCTGGGAGGTAGACAGCCCGGGCAGCTAGCCCTCCCAGAGCTGAGTGGTACACAGTGATGTGAGACACACCAGCCGCAGCTGCGGATTTCTGGGGTGGTGAGGATGGCGGTGACGGAGAAGGCCGCTATCAGGGAAGACTTCCGAGAAGGTGGAATGTGAGCCTTCATCTTGAAGGGCAAATGCAAGCAGACGGAACAGCCTGGACGGAGGTACAGAGGAACAGTTGGCGGTTCCTTGAGATAGGTGCTAAGAACTGGAGGAGGGGCTGTGGTGGATACACACGGCAGATGAAGCGGAAAACCACAGTGGAAAAAATCTAGAGCATCTGAACAGTTCTTCCAAACCGCTTAGATCTTTGACTCTCCCTGCTGAAGCAAACGTCTTTTGTTTGACAGGCTGAACACTTACAGACCTTTCTCTGACCGCAGTGCCAGCCTCTTCCTCTAGGGCCTTGTTTTCCAGAGCATGGGTCCTAAACTAACAGCATCACTTGGGAGCTTTGCAGTAAAGCACATTCTTGAGCCCAGCCCACTCGGGCTACCACGGTTTGAATCCCAGCCCTGGTGACTTGAAAAACACACCTGGGAGTGTGCATGCGTGCTCAAAATCCTGACAGGATAGAGAAATGGACGAGAAAGGATTGTGGTGCCACCACACCCCAGTGGGGGATGCTTTCGCCCTTTCTCTTTGTCTCCCTGGCTGAGCACATGTGCCCTCTGGCAATAAAAAATAAACAAAAAAAGACATATACGTTATTGGGCCCACCCCAGACCTACTGTATATTTCCGGAGAGAGGGTCCATGCAGGCCAAAGTCTGAAAACCACTGCTGTAGGGAGCTGCTCTTTTTGCTTTTTTGAAGAATTATTTAACTGTATTTATTATTATATTTTTTTCAATTTGACCAGGAAGAGACAGAGAGAGAGAGGGAAAGTGAGAAAGCAAGCTGCCAGATCTGGGATTCGAACTGCACTCAGCCATGTGGGAGTCCGGCATCTTTAACCATCATGCTACCTGCCGGCCTACCCACCTTTTTTTTTTTTTTTTTAAGGTTTTTGTTATGGGGTGCATGGACTCACCAGAGAC